CCAAGCAACGACCGGTGAGTTGTTCTTGCGTTATGCGGGCGATCCCTCGAAGCGGGAAACAAATGCTTCCGAGAACCGATGCAAGCTCAAAATGCTAGTCAGCGAGGGATTCGAATTTGATCAAGTTTGGTAAAAGAAACTCAGTTTGCTGCTTTTTCAAAAGGTCCGTCAGTATTGTTCCGGAGTCCGCCAGTATTGGTCCGATCCGCGGAGCCTCATCACAAGTTGAGTCTTTGTTGCCACCAGTAGCGGAGGGCTCATGGGTGAGGCTTTGCTTCTTATCTCCTGCGTAGGGAACCGCCGAGGCAAGCATGCCACTATCCCCATATACCGCTGTCGCGGTAAGGATTCTGCATTAAGAGTATTACAATACAGAACAGTACCTCTCATTCATGGAATTGAATGTTCGCACAGGCCTTATTTATAAGTACCTTCCCTAGAGTGGAATATTTGGAGAAAAGTTATATCATACTCCCCAGTTGTTAGCATTCCCTATGATTCCAATTGTTTCTGGGCCTGGGTATGAGCCATAGTCCATCACTCGGAATCACTCGGTTATTGCACTTGCTAGGAATTCTGACTCTGAATTCTTACCCTGACACCCCTGAAACATTCTTGAGACCATAGTAAGCCCTCCTCATACCCGTATTGTTTCCGGGAAAACAAAAAAATTGAATCTTGTCCCATTGCACTAATCTAGGGATTTGCCGCACTGTACCGTAATTGCATGCCCTTTCACTACAGTCTTCACCGTAGTCGCGACGAAACTGGGCGGGCGACGAACAGGGATCGATTACGAGTAATTTTTCGTAACCCTAACCTTGACGATTGCTTTTTTTGCCCATAGAACACCCTTGCTCGCCACCCGCCCAGTTTCGTCGCGACTACGGTGAAGACTGTAGGAAGAATCTACAGTGACTATTGACATTAAAGGTTTTGGAAAAGCAAAAAGCAACAGCCTGTGATTCGAAAAGCTTGGAGCCCCGGAACTGAATATTTCTAAAGGTTGTCGCGACTTGCAATCTGTGCCTTTTCCTACTCGATTTTTTTTTCTCACTGAAACTGTTTCTGAAGACGCAAGTAGCGCTTTAACAGGCTATACCACAAAAACCGCCTTGAAGGACTAGATATACTGTGGTATTTTTTTTTACTAATCTCCGTTGATATGATATCTGGCGTTCTGAGACCAAGAAGAAAAAAACATTCCTGGAACTTTTGAACTTTGGATGCTGCGACGACTTAGACAGGCTGTTTTGTCGCGTAGTAACATGGTGCTGTCCTAATTAGCGTGCCTAAGACTTGCCCTGAGGTTTAGGCTAGGAACAAGTGCGAGAGACACGAAATCTTTGTTGAGGAATTTGGTGTGATCCGAAAGCTAGGGCCCCGCCGGGCTCTTCCTGTCTGTCAGTCATCGCAGGGCCTTTTGGTAGCTCTAGTTTCTCTATTCGTTTTCTTCCTTCTTCCTTCGGCAGAGATACGGTATGCATCCATTGCCTAATTGTTGGTGGGAATTACGGCACGTTAGAGGGGATAGGTTTAGGGTTATTACGGGTCCCCTTCTCCGCTCCACAACCGTTCATACTCGAGTACGGTATTTCGGGTGTAAGATCTCCTTTAGCGCTACGAATGTGTCATAGTTACAGTACCCATATTGACTTGTGACTCCGCCACCCCAATCTCCGCGATGAACGGTCACAACGCGTCTCCCCTCTCGCACCTGAGCATCCATTAACCCCTCCTTCAACGCGTTTACCCACAACACGTTGCAAGAACGCGAGAACTGCCCAACTAACAAGCAAATACACGGTACTGCTCTCTCTGACAAGCGACAATGCATCGTCCAAAGGCCGCAGCTATCCTCGCCGACGAAAATACCGTGACCCCTAAGCGAACTCTGCCCGGTCGACTCTATAGCAGTGCTGGCCCTGATACGCTTTCCAAGCTTGTCAAGCCCTTTAAAACACCTGCATCCGCCCCATCGGTACGGAAGACAGTTTTACCTCCTCGCAAACGACGCAAAGTCGGTTCTTATGCCGGCGCTGATTGTGGCGATGACGATGGAGAGTTTGTCAAGGATGAGGAGAAGAGAATTGTTTTGGGTAATTTGGACGTGATGAAGAATTTCCCTGTGTTTAAAGCGAAAGACAAGGACTCTGTGTTCAGACAACGATTTGCAGTACCGCTCGTGAATAAGGATGCTGGTGCATGGAATCCGTTTAGACCTGCTCCGGCGTTGGGGATGAGGAAGAGCGTCAATTTTATCGCGAAACCGCTACATGACCCTAGTGGCGAGTTTGCAATTGTCCTTTATGACCCTACGGTTGATGACAAGAAGGTTGAGATCACTGAAGAGAATGGTGAGGTGAAGATTGAGGAGAAGCCTGTGCCGGGAATGCACAAGAGCTTGGCCGAGATATTAGGTTTGAACAAGGGGGATAAGGAGGAAATTCCCAAAGTTCCCGTGGTCATTGACCCAAGACTGTCAAAGGTTTTGAGGCCTCATCAGGTTGAGGGTGTCAAGGTATGCTTGGGATTGTTGTGCTGCGCCTTTCAAGTGGATGCTGACATTTTGTTTCTATAGTTTATGTACAGATGCGTTACAGGTATGACGGACGCTGCAGCAAGTGGATGTATCATGGCGGATGAGATGGGTCTAGGCAAGACGGTAGGATGCTAGAAACTAGAGACACGAAGTTACGCTAATACTCTCGGTAGCTCCAATGTATCGCTTTGATGTGGACTCTGCTCAAGCAATCACCTGAGCCCGGAAAACCCACAATACAGAAATGCGTAGTTGTTTGTCCGTCATCATTAGTCGGTAATTGGGAAAGCGAGCTGGTGAAGTGGCTCGGTAAGGATGCGATCCATCCCTTCGCCATTGACGGCAAAGCTTCAAAAGCAGAACTTAAGGCACAACTCAAACAATGGGCTATATCCAGCGGCAGGAGCGTTGTTCGGCCGGTTCTGATCGTCAGTTACGAATCCCTGCGTCTAAATATTGCCGATCTCGCCAACATACCGATTGGGCTTTTACTCGCCGATGAGGGGCACAGATTGAAAAACCGAGAAAATCAAACATACAAAGCATTGATGACCTTGAATGTTGATCGACGAATTATCCTATCGGGAACTCCTATCCAGGTTTGTCACATCCATTATTTTTAGTAACCGACCATAATAAGCTGAAGATGTTTATAGAATGATCTTTCGGAATACTTTTCTCTTCTAAATTTCGCAAACCCTAATCTCCTAGGTACCCACAATGAATTTAGGAAGCAATATGAAATTCCTATTCTTCGTGGTCGCGACGCGGATGGATCTGAAGAAGACCGTAAGAAGGGAGACGAACGACTTGCAGAGCTTCTCCAGTTGGTAGCCAAGTTTATCATTCGGCGCACCAATGATCTCTTGTCGAAATACCTGCCCGTCAAGTACGAGCATGTCGTATTCTGCAAGCTATCGCCCTTCCAGACAGATCTTTACAATTATTTTATCACGTCTCCGGATATTAAATCTATCTTAAGGGGCAAAGGATCCCAACCTCTGAAAGCTATCGGGCTGCTCAAGAAACTATGCAATCATCCCGATTTGCTCAACCTCTCTGAGGATTTACCTGGATGTGAGAATCTGTTCCCTGACGATTATGTTCCGAAAGACGCCCGGGGAAGAGACAGAGAGGTCAAAGTTTGGTATTCCGGCAAGATGATGGTACTGGACAGGATGTTGGCGAGAATCCAGCGGGAAACAAAGGATAAGATCGTCCTCATCAGTAATTATACCCAAACACTAGATGTATTTGAAAAGCTCTGCCGATCCAGAGGGTAAGCCACCATTCATCCCACGTTTTTCTGTCAGGCAATTGCTCATCCCCCCATAGCTACGGTGCTCTAAGGCTTGACGGCACAATGAACAGCACAAAACGCACGAAGCTAGTCGCAAAATTTAACGACCCCGAAGGCGAAGAGTTTGTCTTCCTTCTCAGTAGTAAAGCCGGAGGCTGCGGCATCAATCTCATCGGCGCGAACCGGCTAGTCCTCTTCGACCCAGACTGGAACCCGGCCGCAGACCAGCAAGCCTTAGCGCGAGTCTGGCGTGATGGGCAAAAAAAGGACTGTTTCGTCTACCGCTTCATCGCCACGGGGACCATCGAAGAGAAAATCTTCCAGCGCCAATCGCACAAACAGTCGCTCTCCACGTCCGTCGTCGACGGCGTCGAAGACGTAGAACGACATTTCGGCCTAGACGGGTTGAAGCAGTTGTTCCACTTCCAGCCCAATACCAATAGCGATACGCATGACACTTTCAAGTGCAAGAGATGTAAGAATTGGAGGCAGGTCATCAAAGCTCCTGCGATGCTTTATGGCGATACAAGTACTTGGAATCATATGTCCGACGAGCAGAATGGGGGGTTGGATAAGATTCAGGATTTGTTGCTCAGACAGGAAAGTGGGCAAGGGGTTGTCACCAGTTGCTTTCAGTATATTTCTCATGTGAGTTTTCTTCGTTTTCCGCATGTCGTCTTGAGAATACTAATGAATTTTTGTAGTGATTCGGTTTACGGATTGGGCGGGGAGTCTTCTTTTTTATGGCTGATCGCTTACCTTGGTATAAAGGTGTTCTTTTAAATGGGTGCAAGTTTGGGTGATGCATTATTTTTCTTGTTAGGGTTGGATTGCATGGAGTGATGATTCCTTTTTTTTTTATTGCTTTCTTGTAGTTTTTATGAAGTAATGGTTGTTACGGTAGACCATGACGAGTTTCCGAATTATTCATGCCTGTTAGCACACTCGAATGCGCCAATACTTTGTGAAGGTGAATAGCCACCATAACCAGACGTTTCCTACCCATTACCACCACCAACCTAAAAATTCTAAAATGGTAAAATAAAAATAAACCCCTGACTTCTCCAAAAAACCAAGTTAGATATCGGCCCCAAAAATGAGATAAGCAACCTCCTCCCCCCTCCTACTTCAGGCAAGCTAACAAAAAAAAAAGTAATCTGTCCTCAGCGAGAGTCGAACTCGCGACCTTCGGATGTCCCCCTCTGAGAGCAGGTCATGTTTATGAGACCGACGCTTTAACCAACTAAGCCATGAAGACGATGGGTATTTCACCTGGACCTATCAATAAAAAATTGAACGCTTCCTCTGGTGGCTGTTGGAGATTACCGTACCTAGGAGGGTTTTGTCCTGGGTGTTTGAGTTGAGGGTTTGTGATATTGGTTTTTGAAAAAAAAATTGATGTATGATGAGTATGTTTCGAAGGAGGGGCCTAGCTAGCTAACTAGCTAACTAGCTCCGGGGGACTGACTGGGCCGGGTGCTTCATTCACTCACGTCAATCCTCGCTGTGGTTCTTAAGAATGTGCCTAGAAATAAGTTAGGTTTCTGGGAGGGGGTGTTGGTGTGGTGTCTACTCGTCGTAGAGGGGTTGGATGGATTTCTGCCGGGCGGGTGTGTCCATAGAACTGGAGTGAGAGGAGGAGGAGGAGGAGGAGGAGGAAGAGGAGGCGGAGCGGGTATCATAAGATGAAGATTAGCGTGACTGGAGGGAGTGAAAGGTGATAACGGGAATGGAATACTGATGGTGTTGTTATACTCTGAGTATAATAGGTTGATAGGTGGGTAAGTGGAAACAGAGGGAAGAAACCGGTGGGTTTTATGTGGTGTTTTCATATGAGGTGCTGAGAGAGGTGTGTATTGGGGTGGGGGGTGATGTTCGTTAACGGGATTTCGTGGGGTATTGGCTGAGTTACCTGTGATTGTTTTCATTAGTGCGCTTGAGCACTTGGTAGGTTTGGTGATGGATGGGTTCTTGGTTGAACTACTTGGTATGTCTCTGTATGCCCTGCGAGTCTCTGTGTCTCTTATACGGAGTTGCTTTTGGCTTACTATTATAGGACCTAGTCAGGAGTTGGGGTACAGTGAATAACTAATAGTATGCAAGTAGTATAAGGATGGTTCTTTTCCCAAAGAACTACATATCTTGCTTAGATTGCTCGCCGATTGGGTTAAACTAAACCTCACAGATAGTCTCTCGGTATGTTGGATAGTCTAATATAAGAGTTTTGGAAATTACAAGCTCCCCCCCCTCCCAGCTGCTTAGGTATATCATAGGTTAAAGTGAATATATGATAATAACTGTGCCTATATTAATAGGTGATAGAGAGCTAAAGAGAGTTCTAGGGACGTTAGTAACTTGTTAAAGGAAATTCCTACAACTAAGAAGTAGTCCCCTGTCCCCGGATACTGCCGACACTTCATGTGTACACCATCCCCTCGCTGAAGATCCCTCCCACCAGGGCAGTCCAATACCCTACCGGTACGCCATTGACCGGGCCAATAAGTTAAAGCTGAAGGCCGCTACTGGTGCCCAGAGGGAACCCAGGAATCCTAGCCTCCATCCGGGCACTCAGATGGCAAGGAATGAGTGCTGTAGTAGTAGGAGAGAGGGGATAGGAAGCCCCTGGCCATGGTTCGGGGTGCATAGAGGTGATAGACTACTAGTACTTGATAGGGTGCCGAGAACGATCGTGTAGCGAGAACCAACATCTCACCCGGAGGAGATATCGTACTACCCTTAACTTGAATGAAAAACGCTGACTCATCTGATAGAGGCGGTGGCTCTTGCTGCCCTATCATTCTCGGGATCCTATCAAGTATCATAGCCTATCGTATTTTGCTACATTTGGGATGCAGTGTCAGGGCCGTTGTAAGACTTGCGCTGAAGGCACGTGCTTGAGCATAGCTGACCTGTGCTAGGCACAGCAACTTACTGGCAGATTCCGGGCCCTACTGTAGAGAGCTCCTGCACACAGATGTACTCGAGTATGCAAACACCTTTTTAAAAATGCAAGAGCACAAGGACGATAGTTCCAGATACCAAGTTCCTAAAAGGCACTACTCACCAAAAGAGCATAGAATATACTTTCTTTGTTAGGCATCCTGATGATTGCAACCCCACTACCGTACCTACACCCGCGCCACACGCTCTAGTAAAATATCTCCCTCCACTATAAGATACCGGTATTATAATGTGCACTCGCCGCATACTACCATGTGATCCCTTCGATACGAGATAGCCTTCCTAGCAGACAACCAACAGACAACCAACAAGAAACATAGATAGGCAAATATCACACTTGCGAACTCGGCTCAGCATCCAATACGAACAACGAGTTGGACTCTGTTAGTACTTGTAAAAAAGGGAGGTCCCGGTCTGCATTTTTTCGCCGCCTGTTTGTGAAATTCGTATATACCGGTATCCTACTATCGTTCCCAGCAGAGGAATTCAGCCCCCCCAGTGTCGTAGAAACGTTTTTCGATTGCCAAGTTTCGGGTGGATCTACCAGATTTGTGTGCAAAATAGGCGTTCACACACCGAGGTCCTTCAGCTCGGGAAACATGCTTACTCTTTTCACCCTCAGGGCTGAATGCCTCTGCTCGAGTAATCCAAAAGTTTAACGATGAGTTACTGGTTGTGGAAAAGAAAAAAGAAACGCAAGATCACTCCCTGCGTCAGAAGCTGCTTTCATGGGGCACGTTAAGCGCGCTGCTGCTAATTCTCATACCGCCGTAAAACATTTGCCCAAAGCGCCACGGTCTCGCTTGTGCGATCAGGAAAGTAAATTCTCCGTCGCAATAATAAGAATAATAATAATAAAAGTGGGACCGCCTAAAATCCACAGAAAGTCGTGGCGTACCGTATCGCAGCTCGGAAGTTCCGTCTCCTATCATGACACCGTTGTGCCGTTGTGTGTTGTCACTGCTGCTTCATGTCATGCCTGCCCTGCATGCGGCCATTTTCCGACTGGGGAAAGCCGGTGGTGGATGATGTGAAAATTTCTCATTCCGACAAATTCACCGCAGGAGAATAGAAACTGGTAGAAGTTTCGGTAACACAAAAGCTGAGACTCAGGCGCAGGTGCTCTATTCGTTTCACTGTGTCAAGCAATCGATCTGTGGAACATAACTTTCGAACGAAAAAAAAAAAAAAAGCTTAAATTTCGTAGACCCATGAACCTTTCGTAAATACAAGTGGGTAAGGGAAAAGGTGTAAGAAACCATAGGAAGGAAACCCTTGAAAGTGAAAAAACCTGATGAAATGAAAAATAAAGCACGCTACTTTTCCGCCCCTATCTTAAATCCCAGGATGACATATTATTGGAAGAAAGGGAATAAGAGAAAAAAGCTGCGCATACAAAACTTCTATGTATTTGTGCGGTTTATTCGGCTTCCATTTAGTCCACCTCTTCAACCTGAGGACCATCATCACCGCCACCATGTGAAGGAGCTCCACCGGCACCGGGGAAGCCTCCAGCACCAGGAAAGCCTCCAGCACCTGGCATGCCCCCGGGAGGAGCACCACCTTGGCTCTGATAAAACTTCATCATGATAGGGTTGGCAACTCCTTCCAACTCCTTCTGCTGAGATTCGAACTCGTCCTGCAATAATTGTTAGAATGTACTTTTTGTTGAATTAAAATGATCGAAATTACCTTAGTAGCAGTAGTGTTGTTATCCAACCATTCAACGGTCTCGTCGATAGCCTTCTTGAGCTTCTCCTTATCACCAGCGTCAAGCTTCTCCTCGACCTTCTCGTCACCCAAGGTGTTACGGAGAGAGTAAGCATAGGATTCAAGCCCGTTCTTGGCCTGGATTCTCGACGCCTCCGCCTCATCCTCCTCCTTATACTTCTCGGCCTCCGCGAGCATACGCTCGATCTCCTCCTTGCTGAGACGGCCCTTGTCATTGGTGATAGTAATACTAGAATTAAGTTAGCGAAACGTAAAATGTTAAAGGAGTTTGAAAACACATACCGGTTGGTCTTTCCAGTGCCCTTCTCAACAGCAGAGACGTTCAAGATACCGTTGGCATCAATGTCGAAGGTGACCTCGATTTGAGGCACACCACGGGGAGCGGGGGGAATTCCAGTGAGCTCGAACTTTCCAAGCAAGTTGTTGTCCTTAGTACGAGCACGCTCGCCCTCGAATACCTGGATCAACACACCAGGCTGGTTGTCGGAGAAAGTCGAGAAGACTTCACTTTTCTTGGTTGGGACGGTAGTATTGCGCTTAATCAGAGGAGTCATGACACCACCAGCAGTCTCGATGCCAAGGGAAAGTGGGGCAACATCGAGCAACAAGATCTCCTGAGTTTTAGAAGAGGTATCACCAGAAAGAATGGCAGCCTGGACGGCAGCACCGTAGGCGACAGCTTCGTCGGGATTGATGGACTTATTGGGCTCCTTCCCGTTGAAGAAGTCGGACACCAGCTTTTGGACCTTGGGGATACGGGTAGAACCACCAACCAAGACAATCTCGTGGACAGAGCTTTTATCGATCTTAGAGTCGCGAAGAACACGTTCGACAGGCTCCATAGTGGAGCGGAAGAGATCCTGGCATAACTCTTCGAAACGAGCACGGGTAATCGAGGTGTAGAAGTCAATACCCTCGTAGAGGGAATCGATTTCGATCGAGGTCTGGGCAGAAGAAGAGAGGGTACGCTTGGCACGTTCGCAGGCAGTACGGAGACGACGAAGAGCGCGAGCATTGGAAGTGAGGTCCTTCTTGTGCTTGCGCTTGAATTCTTGGACGAAGTGGTTGACAAGGCGGTTGTCGAAGTCCTCACCACCCAAATGGGTGTCACCAGCGGTTGCCTTAACCTCGAAAATACCTTCCTCAATAGTCAAAAGAGAGACATCAAAAGTACCACCGCCCAAATCGAAGATAAGAACGTTACGCTCTCCTTGACCCTTCTTGTCGAGACCGTAGGCGATGGCAGCCGCGGTAGGCTCGTTGATGATACGGAGAACGTTGAGACCAGCAATCAAACCAGAGTCCTTGGTGGCTTGACGTTGTGAATCGTTGAAATATGCGGGAACGGTAATAACTGCATTGTTGACGGTACCACCAAGGTATGACTCGGCAGTTTCCCTCATCTTGGTAAGAACCATAGATGAGATTTCCTCAGGAGTAAACACCTTAGTCTCGCCCTTGAACTCAACTTGGATGAATGGCTTTCCGCCCTTATCGATGATTTTGAAGGGGAAATGCTTCATGTCTGCCTGCACCTCTGGTTCAACGAACTTGCGTCCAATCAAA